CCCGAAAGGGTCTTGTGCAAGGAGAAGAGAGTTTCTAGATATCTCAGCAAGTAGCTTCTCACGTTCCGCCCCAGCCGAGTGCAAAACGCAGCGTTGCAGCACACAACATCCATGGCGATTAATCGCAATCTCAGCAAAGAACCTTATCGCAGCCTCCAGAACAAACTGCGCAAGAAAAAGTATACATAAAATTATCAGTTTATCACTCATCACTCAGTCACCAAGACTTTAAAAAAACATTTTCAAGAACATGAAATGGTAGATATTATGTTGGCTAAATTAAACCTTGTTATCATTAGGACCAAGGCATCGTAAGCAACTATGTAGCACACGGTTGCCGTTTAAATCTCTAACCAGAGAGAGAAAGCCTGGTTTAAGAGCTGACTTAACCAGACTGATTTGTTCCTTCGTAGTCACTGTCTCAATCAACTTCTGCACAACCCTTGTCCTGCTCATTCCAAAACATCAACTCAAAGTCTCAGCTTTTATCACAATATATATTATATATAAGCAAAATCGAAGCTTTCCCAAAACATGAATCATCAAGTCAAAAGGTCTTAATTTTTCAACCATGAGCTGCTGAAATGTTTATTTTTCAAAGGTCTCATCTTGTCTTAAATCAGTAAAAACAATTCAACTTTTTATACTCAAGAGCTGACAGATTATTCAAACGTCCCATTTTTCTTTCTTTCCAAAAATAGCATATGTTTCATCTTTCTCGAAAAACAAGAAAGATCTTATCCTACTCCACAAACATGTAATAACATAATTAAAGCTTCATGGATCTCTCCTTAATTCTTGTGGTTGTGGGAAAAAAGCTACACTTTTATTTATTTTTATACTTTTCAAAATAAATCAAATCTTAAATGCAAATGCTTTTACCCATAAGTGTTGAGGGAGATTGTGACAAGCAATCCAGGTTTTGAGGTGAACATGATGAGAATCTGTGTTCTTTGTTCTTCATTGCAGACTTGAATAAGCTTCTGTAGGAAATAATTCCCAAACTGGTCCGTTCCAAGTTCTATCACATGATTAATCACTTCTTCGAATATAATCATGGAATCAAGAAAACCCCCTCTTTCCACAAACTTCTGCAATAATCTGCAACCCATTTGATCTTTTGCCATTAAGTACACAGAGCCGTAGATTCCAACCATGGACTCAAGATCTAGTGGCAAATCCTCTTCATTGAAATGATCTTCCTCCAACAAACTCTTCTTCTTCACACATTTAGCTCTAAGCTCGCGAGAACCTCCCATGGCTGAAAAAGGTGGAAAAATCATGTCTCTACTCTCTAAAACCTCATGGTTCATTCGAGAATCTGGTCGGATTTGTTGATTCATAGGTTGAAACAAGTAATCTCTGTCACGAACTCTGGGATTAGGGTTTGAAATGTCTTGCAAGTCAAGCAATCGGAGCCTGTGAAAGTACTCACCAACATAACCACCTGCAGAAACTTCGCCATAAGAGCTGTGTACTGAACCTTGACGACGAGAAGAAAACTCCAGAAACGGATCGTGATGACTCAGATCCCGGTCGAGTCTGGAGAAGCCATGGAGATTTCTAGAGCCGGAGTACACGAGAAACGGATGGGATCCGGTGAAGATAGTACTCCTTCCGTCGTCTTCTTCATCGGAAATAGCCATTTTACTGAGATTTTGACACAAACCCAGATCACTACAAGCCTTAGTAGTATTCAGATTTAGAAGGTTCCTAAGAAACTGGTCGTTGTCGTTCATGATCGGCGTCATGGGGGATGTGCGGTCACCGGAAAAGCGAAATCCATCGGAGGAAGAAGTCGGAAGAGGAAACGCTCCGAAACCCAGATCGTTATATGAAGCTTGGTTTCTGAAATCACGAGGAAAACACCCAAAATCCATGAACAAGTTCTTCTTCTCTTCAAACATCAAAAACTTGGGGAAATCTCT